AGTTAATTTAGAATAATAAATCAGTAAGATAAATATTTGTAAAACTATTACATTTTAAAAAATTATAATAATATAAATAAAATTATTCTTATAAATAATTCTATTTTAAACTTTTTTATTTATTTTTAAAATATAAAAAAAAAATAAGTTAAAAAATTTTGATTTCTAGCATACTCAATAATAATAATAAATCATCATATCATATTTAATATAACTTTATAGAAGAAAAAATAATTAATTGCTAATTTAATTGATAAAAAAACTATTTTTGCTTTTAAGTCATTAATATATTATAATATTAGAGATGATATCAAAATTCATTTTAAATACATTTATTAATTCAAATTTAAAACAAAATAAAATAATTATTAATAATAACTTCAACTAGATAAAATATAGAAATTATCAAATATAAATCTAATGATAATTATTAAAAGGATTTTAATTCTACATTTTAACTCAGTGTTATATAATAAAATATATAAATTATTTAAAATCAATTTAAATCCTTCTAATAATTCTAAAACAGATGCTAATTAACCTTTTGAATCTTTAAATTTATTACTAAAAAAAATAATATTACAATTGATAATAATAAATTTTTGTGGAATTTACTTTAGATTATATTATTTAGATAAGTTTTAATATTATAAAGTCAATAACTAAAGCTTTGATAAAATTTATAAAAGTTTTTTGATAGAAATCAAAGATGACAATTTTAAAAATTTTTAAATTTAATATATTTGATGAAAAAAATACTTAATTAAAAGAGCAATTTTAATATTAGTTTTTTATACAAATATCTTACATTGTATTTAAAATAAGAAGTGGTAAATTTTAACAAAATAATATGCTGATTATAATAAAATTTTGATATATAAAATTTTTTTAATTTGTTAATTCGCAAATTATAATTTTAAAATATATTATTTTTTTCAAAATCTGTATATTTATAAATTGAATAATAATTTAACTTAATTTAATCTTTCTATTTTCTGAAATATAATAAAACCCACTTCTATATATTATTTCTGAAGTATAGTGAAAATATTATGTATACTTAAGATTATATAATGTTTATTTATCATTATATGAAAAAATTCAATCAAATTTTAGAATTAGATGTAATAATTAATATTACTGACCAGATAATAATAATAAAAATCAATGTTATTTAATTTAGTATTATAAAATTAGTATTATATTAAATATTTTTTAAGTTTTTTTCTGTAATATTAAATGATACAAAGGCTATAAATATATAATAGTTCTCATTTTTAATTAATTTTACTTTAAAATTAGCTTAAATAATAAACAAATTATTAGTATTTAATAATATTATAATTGATAAATATTATAGTTAAATATGATAGATGTTAAAAGAATTTACTAAAGAAGATTCAACAAAATTTAAGTAACAATTTCATTTTAGATTAATATTAAATTTCAATTAGATACAGCTATATAATAATATTATTATAGCATTAATTTAAATAATTTGAATCTTTTTAAGATGAATTAATAATAAATAAATATATGAATATTTTAAAAAAAAGAATATATGTATAGCTTTAATTCTTGATTATATAATATATTAGTTATTAGAAAATATGTAATTATATTTTAGCTTTATTATTATATTATAGATATGAAAAAAAAAATTATGAAAATTATTAGCATTATTTTACCAAAATGATAATTTTGATGATTAGTTTTTATATAAAATCTATTTAAGATTAAAAATGAATATTACTAATTAAAAAAAAAAAAATAATACAATTAAGTTGCAATTTGTAATACAATTAAATTTATTTATATTGCAATTAAATTAAAAATTAAAATTAATTATAATGATTATCTTGAATCAAAATACTTTATAAATCATTTTTTATGAAAAATATGAATTACAATATCTCTATTTTAAAGTAAAATGGTATAAGATAATCTAATTTATTACATTTGTTATATTTTGATCTTATAAAATTTAATAAGTGATTTTAACATTTAATTTCTTGAATAATATTTAAAAAATGAATATGTTTTAAATTTTATATAAATTAAATCAAATTTCAAGTAAATTTATAAAGAAAAAGAATTTTCTAATTTTATAACTAATCAGTGATAAATATTTTTACTGTATATGCTATTATTTTATTTTGAGAATATTTTTTAGTTATAAATAAAAAGATTTTTACATATTTTGTAAGAATTTGTATAATTTTAGTATAAAATCAAATCTATTATATAAAATTAATTAAAGATTAATTGAGATGATAAAATTGATTGAAGATAATTATAGATATAATAAAATTATATTAAATCTTTATTTTCTTTTTATTAATATGATTACTAAATAAATTATTATTTATTATATATATTTTAATATTATTTTAAACGTATAAATAAAATATTAAGTATTTTTTTAAGAGTTTCTTAATTAAATTGACTTAATTTATAATTTTTAAAACTAGTTCTAAAATATTTAGTTTATTAAAATCTTTATGATATATAAAAAATTTATATATTTTAGTCAAATTTATTACAAAAGATAATATTATTAAAAATTATCTAAGTTAAGTCTAAAATTATTTTATTTATATAGTCAATTTATCATTTAGATTAATTAAACTTTTTTAACATAGATTTGCTAGTATTAATCTACAAGTTTTCTAAATATTCAATATTATTTTAGCAAAGAAGAAACATATAATATTAAATTATGAGCTACTGATTTTTACTCTGATAGTTATGATTGTATAATACATAATTCATCATATTTTAGATCAATTAGTATCAATAAACTATTAAATTTCAAATTTGATAAAATATAAAAGAATTTTTAGTTATTAATTCAATTAATAGAAAATACTATTTATAAAATACAATTAAATAAATTGAAAGTTTTTAGTTATAAATTTTATAAATTATATTTCTTTTTAAATTATTTTATTTTGTGATAAATATCAATTAGTTAGATTGAATTTTAGCTAATTTTTAATAATATATTTATTGTAAGTTAATTTATCATATGTCTAATTTTTTTGATTTTGATAATTTTAAAATTGAATTTAAGTATTATTATAAATTTTATCTATTATAATAGATAAAAAGAAAATATTCAATTAGTAGAAAGTATAACTCTTATAAATTTAATAAATAAAAGGATGATTAATATTATAAACAAATCAGATAAAGATTTATAAAATTATTTATTTTATTTCTTATATTTTCATCAAAAGAAAATTGATATATTAAAGCTTTATATATATATTATGATTATATAAAAATAGAAATATTCTATTGGATCAAATTCTAAACAATTATGAAGTTTAATCAGTTCAATATCTTTTAAATTATAGGATTATAGTACTATAAAAATTGGAATTTTTAATCCTAAAACAATAGTTAATATTAAAAAAAATTTAGATGAATTAGAATAATATATCATTATCATTTACGATATTTTATTATTCAAAAAGAAAATTTTATATAATTATAGTTGAATGATTCTTGATCATTATATTTGAACGATTCTTCATCATTATAATTAAAAGATTTATTAAATCTGTAGTCCTAGTACTGCAAGTTCCCAATTTTTATAAGACTGCAGTTTCAGATCTGATCCTATAATCCAGTTCTATAACACAAGTCTGATGAGACTAGATTTTCTTTTGAACTGAGAGTTTCAGGACCAGACTGGATTTTAACATCCCTATATAGGAATTTGACAGATAGAAGACCTTTTTGTAATTGAATTCATAATGCAATGGTTTTACCACTCCAATTGATACAAGCTCATATTAAGGAATTTGCATTGAATTATTATAAGGATGTTGGTATTCTATTCCAGATAAAAGACCAACTGCTGTTGTTATCCAATAAATTGAGGTATTTATCATTTTAATAAAATAGTCCAAATATTTCTGTAAATTTGCCAAATTATTAGACTCGATATTAAAGGAAGTTCATAAATAATTTGCTTTATATTTTTTTAAAAAAACTCATTATTTATAAATAACTAATAATTATATATAAAGGATAAAGAAAATTCGATGTAGATAAAGATAAAGGTATGTTAAACATCTTAATCAAATCTACTGATGGAAAAATTTGGGAAATTAATATTTAAGCTCAACTGATGGGTTCATTATATAGCTGATGGGTACTAGTACAAAAATACTAATAAAATTAAGGGGATCTTTCGATATAAACTCATCCGAATGGGTACAAGACAATTCGGGTGACCCGTTGGGTTAACCCGAAATTCTCAAGTCGGTTATGGGGCGGGTTTCAATTTTGACCCGACCCGATTAACCCGCTAACCCGATTTATTATCGTACATTTCGTTCAATAATAATAACGATTCGTCATCGTTCTTTTGAACGATCAAAAAAGCCTTTCGGGTTACCGGTTTACCCGAGTGACCTGAATACTTTCAGGTGTCAAGTCAGAACAGGTTATAGAATTCCTTTTTTTTTGCAAAGTTAACGTTAAATCCAATAAAAACAATGATGATCTTTACTGTAGTCATCAAAATCTGTATTACCGTAATAAAAAGTATAACAATTTATTTGCGTGACACAACTTTTTTAGTCCATTTCTCTTTGTTAAAACGGAATCCATATCCGATTTTTTTTACATTGTAAAATTACCCTAAAAAATTTGTGTAACGGTAACAGTTTTATTTAGAATCTTTATTTACAACTGAAATTTTATGACAATGCCACGACAATAACGATTAATACTATATATATTTGTTCGATTGTTCATATTTCACAAGATTAAATATTATAAAATGAGGTTTGAAGGAATCACTGCTCTTTAAGAAATTGTTTAAATAGTTTTCTTGCACTTTTTAAAATTTTAATAATAATGACTAAAAATAGGAAGCAACTGTTCGATTCACATGTAATTATATAATATGTATTCCTAAAAAATAATAATAATACTTACCAATTTATGATTTTTAGAGTGACGAAGTTATAAAAAATTATATGAAAATGAATCCAAATGAAACAATTCCTTTTGTACGATTAAGTAAGCTGCTTTCTAATGAACAGGTTACTTTAAAAGCAAAACAGATAGCTCATCAGTAAGTTAACAATATTTATCTGTATGTTTATAAGAAGATAAATTAATCAACACCCTTTGCATCATAAACATTAGTTGGCGGAACAACCTTGATCCTCGTCGTAAGTAATAAAAACTTAATTACTAAAAAAAAGTTGAATTAACTTCTTTCCTTTTATTTAGTCTGCAAAGAACCAATTTCAGATGAAGAGAAGACTTATATTTATTCATGGGTCATACCACATCAAAAAGCATGTTCAATCATTCAATGGAACGAATTACAAAATGAAATAGTGACCAGGTTTGGAAAATTCCGTTCGCGCAATGATCTAAAGAACATTTGGTATTCTAGGAAAAGGCGCCTTGACCGGTATAATACTAAAGTTCCTGATAATATTGAAAATCCTAAAGCTAAAATTTCTTATATTTTAAATTGAACAATAACTATTTACTTTACCGTATAAATGAAATCTATCTAGCAATTTTTAGGGAAATAATCTTTGTTGTTTGACTATTTCTACATATATTATTTCAAAATTTTGAAAATTTAATTTTCACTGTCATTATATAAATAATATAAATATAAATAAATGGGAAATCTTAGAATGAGAGAGTCGCAGTAAAGAATTTTTTTTCATTTCTCAAAAATGAAAGTTATTTCTGTTGCTACATCATAAATAATATACATTCTTAATTAAGGCCATTATTTTTTTTTTATAAAAAAGGAAGTCAATTTTGATTGTCTGAAACTTCACATTTCAAAGATTAATCTTATTACCTAATTTTCTTTGAATAAAATTATTTTAAGGAATCATTAAATAATTTTTACGCCTTAATCAACTTGTTACATTCAAAGCAGAATATTTACATAAATGTGGTCTAAATTTGATCTTTTTAGCTCCAAACAAATCGTATTTAAACAAATATTTATTTGTCAAGAAACTTTTACAAAAAGCAAAAACAACTTTTTTTATATATATATTATTTGTATCCTCATATTTAATTATTATTTAAATCATTTTATTTATTTTATTTATTATCTCTTATTTTTAATTTTAATTTGTTTTGAACAAAACAAATTAACGCTTTCTTTAATTAGTTTGCTACGAACCTTCTCAAAAGAAGATAAGAAGTTTCTTAGAAAATATACAGTACCACAATTTGGAAAGATTTATGGAAACCAAGTTTACGAGGCTAATGTTATGCCGATATGACTATGAAGAGATAGTTGAAGCTAATCCTTGCTACTGTTACCTTTTAATTCGTGTTGAAATTAATGAGGTTGAATTAACAATTACTGCCTCATTCGGCGGTTGATCTTAAGAGGAGATATCCAAATACTTCTATCTGATACAGAAACAAAAACAAAACGAAGTCTATTTAAAGTTTACGATAAATATATTCCTTCCTTAAAAGATCAATTGACATATCCTCCCAATATGAATATCATCACTGAACTTTATAATTAACTGATCATACAAAAGTGTACTTTTTTTTCATTATTACTTTTGTTTGATCTTTTATAATATATTCTACAATTTAACAAAATAGTTCCAAAGACGGTTTCCCATGAATAATATTGTGAACAAATTGAGAAATGTGGAAACGTAAAGGTAGGTAAGATATATACATCAAACTGCTAGAAGAAATTTCCTTGAAATAATCAAAATTGTAGAATATTCATCTATGTATTTTGACTGGAGCTTATAAGAATTTAAAATTCCGACCTTGAATCCGGTCAATATAGGTAGATAATTAATAAAATATTCATTCTTTCATACATTACCTTAGAACATGAATTAAATCATTTCTAGTTTTCATACATGAAATTTTTTATAAAGTCCCATGAAAAAATTGTACAAGTTTCGTACAAATTTTGTACAGTTTCGTACAGTTATTTCGCAGTAATTTCGGGTACAGAGAAATCGTATCGTACGAAATAAGTTCAAATTTTGATAAATACAAGAATTTTATAGAAATCAATCATGTATGATCTAATATTTTTTTTGAACGTATGGAAAATATTATATTTTTAAAAATGGATAAATTAAATTTATTGAATTTTTGCAAATATCGTAAATAATAAAAAACCGAAATTAAAAATCCCTCTCTACAATCAAATGTAAACCTGCAGGATAATGTTCAAGTCCCTAATCCATTTTGGCAAAAGTCAAATCTTCGGTTCGACGGGTTTCGATTTCGATGCCTATGGAAACCTTCGGATTATCCCGGTGTTAACCCGAATTTAAACCGAAACCAGGTTAACCAAACAACGATTAAATCTAACTAAGGCACGTCCTAAGAAAGATTATACAACTATTTACATTATACGATTCTTTGTGTAGTTGGTTATTATGGAGACACGATAAAGTTTGAAAGTGTAACTTGGAATTTTATTAACTCAAGATTTCGGACGTCTCTTCTCAAGACTCGTCAACCTTCTTCTTTGAACAAAGCGGATTTCGGGGTTTATATACAGAATTTCTAAATACTAATTTAAAATAAATAAAATAAATATATCAAACATAGCGATATATAAAAATAACAATTATAAGAAATTTAATAAATATATATAATAAAACAAATATAAAAACGAAAAATTGTATAATTATTTTAACACATATAATTGATAAATTAATATAAATGACATTTTTGACATCATCGATATTTTCAATATTTTTTAATATTTCACGCAGCTACTGCGCCATTCGTAAATACTGATCTCTTGTAACACCGGAAACTTCATTGCAGAACAGATAAAAATATTATTTCATTTAAAAAGGAACATAAATTCTCTAATTAAATTCAACTTCGTAGTACACGATAACATCATAAATATTTCATGTGGTATAAAAAATATTATATAAATGCATGAATCCTCCTTCGATTTAAAGCTAAATTACATTACGGTTAGAAAATATACCCTACCAATTGTGAATGGAAGGACATATTCAACATTATACAAAGTTTATTTAAGAAATTTCCTTTTATTTCTTTTTTAGTTTCTTTCTGTCATAAAAAAATCTAGCAATTCAACAATGCAATAATTATTATTTAAAATTAGAAGTTTGATATTTGCATTTCTTGTATAATCAAAACCAAATTCACAACCTTAAAGAAAAAACATTTAAAGAACTCACAGATACAAAACTTTAACATTGAAGTTGTATAGGATGTAAAAATATGTAACTTTTTTTAGCTGAGGAAAAGGATGCAGTAGTCATTCTTAATTGGTTAGTAGATACAATATTCAAGAATTTTACATTAGGCTAATACATTAAAGGGTTCTTTCATAACAAAGTATGCTTTTAATCAAATAAAGAAACTAAGTTGTATTTGTTACTCTTATTATGAAAAATTAAGCAGAAATATTTACAAACATACAGGTTAATATAAAAATCAAATTGATATTTAAGATAAATTGCATAAATAAGATATATCAAAAGGAATTAAATTTATTATAAAATGACTTAAATAAATTTTATATAAAAGTAATGAATCAACAAAAAAAGTAATATTAATATCTATTATTAAAGCTATTCTATCTTTTTTTCTCATAACTTTAACCAAATCTATATCAAAAATACTAAATCCCTTAATTTTTTTATTATCCCTTAAATTGTAGTGATTCACAGGCAAATTTGCCTGCTTATTTACTATAAATTCACTTCTGATTTATTTTTATGAAAAATTAAAATTTTTTAAAAAAATTTTTTTTAAATTAATTTTATAAATATGTATTACCGTATATTTCCAAAAATAAGCACCCCCCAAAAATAAGCACCCTCACATTTATATATATGCTAAAAATAAGCACCCCCGAAAATTGTAACACATTTTATTATACCGTATACTTCTGAAAATAAGCACCCCCCGAAAATAAGCACCTTCACATTTATATATATGCTAAAAATAAGCACCTCCGAAAATTGTAACACATTTTATTATATTTATAATAAAAGAAAAAAATATTTATTATATTTATTAAATTTACAGATT